GTGTGTGTGTGTGGGTGTGTGTGTGTGTGTGTGTGTGTGTATAAATTTTATTTAATTACCTGACTGTAATGCCAACTATAAAAACTAAGGTATGCTTAGCAATCAAATTATAAACGTTCAAGATGCTCTCCTTGTTTAGTATGTACAGCATTTTTGATTGATTTAAAAAATACAATTTTTACATGTACGGTATACCACAAAAAAATGACACCACTTTATGCCTGCCCTTATCTTATTCAATAACGAAATTGTAATTCTCATACATTAAAGAAAAAAGGAACTTGATATTGTATATTCATATTTGTATACTGATTGTAAACAGTAACTAAGATGTTTGTTCATAATAATAAGTACAATTAAAAAAAATCCTTACATCTCTTTTCCTTTTTTCTTACATTATTAATAAAAGATCAAATATAAATATGTTTCTCTTGAAATAAAAAGAATTTGAACTATTTTATATATATCTGCAAACTTAAAAGTATTATATTATGTATGCCGAGGCCTTGTCATACAATTGATAATATTTATTTGGCATCACAAGACATGTTACAATATTGCCAGGAAAGAGAATGGACATAAACCCGAACAAAAAATTGCTCTTATCCAACTATTATTATCTAAATATTTTCTCAAATTAAAAACACTTTAAAATCAACTGCTAAAAATTACACTAAAATAGATCAACCTTATAAACAGCTATAAACAAAAGTTGAAAGCAAAAGAATGCCGTGTCAATACCCATTCGGAAGGGATATCGAATTTCTTGTATAGTGAAGTGCGGGGTTGCCAGACACTGTAGTCGACAATCTTCATGGCCGAACACACGCCATCTCACGGCCAAATTCGGCCAAACTTTTTTTTATCGATATCGGCCAAAATTTGGCCAAATTTTAATCCGATTAAATAAAAAAAAAACATACATAAAAGTTGGTTAAAAACTAAAACAAACATTAAAAATTTATTACAACCTTTAAAATTATTAATAAAAGTAAAACTAATAAAAGAAATAAAACCCATTAAACCCTAAAAGTATGTAAAAGTGAATGTGAAAAAACAGGTAAAAACAAACATTAAAATTTATTAAAAACCTTTAAAACTCCTTATCATTAAGTAAATCTAATAAAAACAATGAAAACCCTAGTTAAACCCTAAAGACGTAAAAGTGAAAGTAAAAAAGCGGAAGGTATAAAATTTCACAAAAAAATATGTTTATGTTTTATTTATATGTTAAAACTGTTTACTGATTGTTTGTCAATTCAGATTTTTTATATAAATAACCGTTGAGTGTCATTATGTATAAATAATGACATCGTAGGAAGCCATGGTTTATAAATAATTCGTTATGCAAATTACGAAGTAATAAATATTCACCAATGCTCTAAAGTTACAATTATTGTCTACTCACCTATCGCAAATGCCACAGCAAGGGATACAGCAGATTATTGGATAGCCTCATAATGCTTGGAATACATCGCAATAGGGGAAGCAACCTCGACCTTGACATCGTGGTTGACAGATTTTGTGCAAAAATTTCTAAAATGTAGAATTTCACTTTGAAGAAAGAGGATATGAAAGTAAATTAGATGGTTACATTGCAAACTTTTTGTTTCTTGTTTTACTCAAAATGTTTTGGTTTTGGAATTTGATTTCGAAATTAGAAAACATAGCCTACATGAATTTACATTATAGTAGCGCGATGCCTATTAAATAAGTAATAAAAATTCGCCATAATTCGTCAAATATCCGTGGCTTCGGGGTGAAGCCCCCTGGAACCCCACCGCAGTGCCGTATCTAGATGTCTTGAAATGGGAGGGGATGATGGGGGGGGGGGGGGCGCGAAGGTGAAGGGGGGGGGGAAGGGGGACTCGATGATCAGTTGAGGGACGCTAATTCGCAAAATAAGGTGATTTTAGCTGATTTTTAACTACTTGACCGAGATTTGAAACCAGTGTCAGCATAATCTTAGGTGAGCATGTGGTTAACATAAGCAAGAATTTAGTCTAATGAAACCGTTTATCATCTTGATACCGTCGACGAAAATTGACCCCACCGGAGTCCCCACCGATCGATCTAACGTGACGTTGTTATGTGAATGTTTTATAAATTATTGAATGGTAATATCACCGAAAAAATGTAGTACCTTGCAAATCAACCCCAAAACCCGGTATTTTGTTGATTGTTTATTGGTAGCGTCCCTTCCCTTCCAAAAATAGTTTTTTGGCAGTTGCGTCCCCGGTGACATCGGCAGGGCATGGTGAAGGCTGGTTAAGATTTGGTGGCACATCGTTTCAGTATTTTCTTTTACCTGCCATGGGTGAAGTGGGGAGGGGGATCGATGATCAGTTGAGGGGCGCTAATTCGCAAAATAAGGTGAATTTTAACTACTTGACTGTGATTTGAAACCAGTGTCAGTATAATCTTAAGTAAGCATGTGGTTAACATAAGCAAGAATTTAGTCCTATAAAACTGTTTAATATCTTGATACCTTCCGATGAAAATTGACCCTACCAGCGTCACCACCGATCGATAATGTGAAGTTTATGTGGGTGTTTTATAGATTATTGAGAATGGTAATATCACCGAAAAAAATAGATAAAATGACAGTTGAATGACCAACAAAGACAACTGAAGACAATAGTTTGTCATTAAAAGTTATGAGGCCTAACTTTATTTGGATAATTAATCTCAAAATCGAGTTGCCGTCTCCGGCGTTGTCAGTGACGTCGTATGATTTATTTGTGATTTTTACCAATTAACCCCTAAGTAAATATAGTTGAGCCATGTATTATTTTTAAAATCAACCCAGAAATCCGGTAGTTTGTTGATTGTTTATTGATCATCGAGCCCTTCCCCACCCCCACTTCACATACATACTGTACGTTGTTTGAGTTCAATTAAAATGTGACTCGTGAGGGCGGCTTATATTAGCAATTGACAGAGCCGTATCTACGGCTCTGGCAATTGATACCTGGCAACCGAACGCCCTTTCTGCTATTACGCCTTCTGTTCGTACCCCTCGTTTTATCAGCAAGTTTATAAAATGCTTAGAAATTGATACTTTTTAAACATTCATTACGAATATTATATACATATATCAATTATAATATAGTGAACTTTGGAATTTCACAATTTTGTTTCATTGAAATTTGCAGAAACATCTCTAATTATTTTAACTAATTTGTTGGGGTGAATGAAGGGAATTTCGTAAACAAAGCTCGCTCTGATAAAGAGGAATTCCCAGGCCATAAAGAGGACTTGCTGCCTGATCATAATTATATTAAATCGAAGTCAGAATTCAGTGAAAATGGGCGAAAATGTAAAAGTTGCCGTCAGAGTTCGACCATTCATATCCTTTTTTTGTACCAGAGAGGCTTAGGCATCTTCTAGGCCTAGCCTAGACAAACTTAGCCTATATAAACTATAGGCCTAGAGTAGGCTAGGCCTAGGCTAGCCCAGCCGAGCCATCCTCCTAGTCCTCCTTCCTAGAGAGGCCTAGGCTTGTGCATGGCCGCTCTAGTATAGTCTAGCCCAGACCTAGGTAGAGTAGGATATGTTTTTTCCTTCAAGTTTAATCATGCTGGGAATTAGTCTCGACCTAGGCTTGACCATTATTGCAAAATGTCTATTCATCCAACGACTAGGCTAGGCCTAGCTGACAGTAGCTGTTCCTTTAGAATTTAAAAAGTTGAAAATTAGAATTAGAAACCATGATTATTTTCATCAGTTAGATAGAGTAGAACCCTAGGCTAGACGTTTTAGCATATCCGTTAGAATCAGAAGATCTATTTTCCACTTCATACACAAAATTTTTTAAATGAATATACAGTACATAATAGCCCTTATTATTTGGCCTAGAAGAATAATAGTGCTAAATGCCATTCCTATAATAATAGGCCTGCTTAGGCTATGCCTGTGTTAGACCATTACTATCAGTTTATTCTGTCTTTTTATTGGAATTTAATTACTTTGTAATGAGCAAAACATTTTAATTAAAATTTTAAGTGGTTCTTTTATTTCATCATAGTAGACAGTATACATAAAATTACTTCATATTTGAAACAAAAATATTGTTTACATGTGGGAAAATTAATAATGTTGTCTAAATCCTTGTTTAATAATGTTAAGCATATCCACTCGATCACAAAAAAAATCTTAACAAAGATTGCACAAGCCTGGTAGATTTAATAACAACCACCCAGAATTGAATTTTTTTCAGTGAAAAAAAGAATCCAACCATTACAAACAATATATAAAATGTTAGTAGCGGTATTATCTTTCAAGTGGATTTATTAGTACATTATATCCCAATTTATTTATGATCATAATTTATTCACTGTCTTTGTCTGTTTGGCCTTTTGTTTGTTATTATTTTGTTGTTATGTAAGTGGTGGATTTGTATCTGTTGTTGGAGTGGTTGAGCAAATATCTGTGCTATTCTTTGCCCCACTGTGCTGTTTTTAAAATCTCAGAAATGGCAGCAAAATATCCCAGTTAATGTGTAACACCCTTTCTTACTGATTTATTGAATACAGAAAAGTAATTTTTTTTTTTAGAACTAAACCTCCTCCAATCTCAATCAAAGAGCAGTGCACGTTTTATTGTATTTCCTCTTAAATTTATCATAAATAATAACAATAGATAATTATCTAGGTGTTTTTTTATTCGAATAATTTAATTTATCATAAATAATAGCAAAAATAATCAATAATAAATATTTATCCAGTTTTCATACTTCCTTTTTTGAATTTTATTGCAGTCCAAATGTTTTCTTCTGTATGTTTCTTGTGCAATTTGGTGGTTATTTTAATGATTTTTTTTTTTTTTTTGAATTGAGAAACTTAATTGAATAATTATGAAAGATAGCAATAATAAAATAATAATGATCACGCTTGGATGTTTCCTTTTTTTAAATTTTATTGCAAGCCATTTTTTTGTGTGTATTTTTTTTGCTTGTGCAATATATCAAATAAATTAATTATAATTATGAATGAAATAATTATGAATTATGAATTAATGAATGATTAGAATAACAATTTTTATAATGATAATGATTTTGACATTTTTACTTTTCTCTTAATGAATGCTTTTTATTGTCCCAATACATTTTTGCCTTTTAAGTATGAATTATTGCAATAAAATAACTAAAATTAAACAACTATGATCACATTTAGATGTTCACTCTTTTTAATTAATTTTATTGCAAGCTTTTTGTATTTTTTTTGTGCAATATCAACTAAATAATTGAAAATAATGAATGATTTAAATAACAATTTTTATAATAATAATGATTTTTGCATTTTTATTTTTTCTATTTTTGCATTTTTATTTTTTCTCTTTTTGCATTTTTATTTTTTCTTTTTATGAATGTTTTTTGTTGTCCAGTACATTTTTGCCTTTTAAGTATTTGTATCTTTAATGTGAATTATTCCCTTTTACCTTGTTAATATAGCACAATTTAATTCTTATTACTACAATGTTATATTTGGCTGTTCTTTTTTACCTTTGTATTGTTTCTGTTTGCATGTTTTAATAAAATATACTATGAGAATGAATGAATGAATCTTCGCTCACCTCCTCTACCACTTATAATACAAACTATATGTTGCTTCCCTTAACAATGCAATTACAATGAACGTGAAAAGAATTGTAATGCAACATGTATTATCGAGATGAATGGAAATTCTACTCTGATCAAAGATCCAAACAACCCTACACAAAAACCACGACAATTTACGTTTGACCACTCATACTGGTCACATGATGGGTTTAAAACATTAGAAAATGGATACTTGGAAGCGGAGGGAAAGAAATATTCAGATCAGGTCAGTAATATAATAATGAGTACATAATAAACATAAAATGCACCTCAGAAAATATATATATATATATATATATATATATATATATAAATCAAGATAGTCGTTAACACTGTTAAATCATATATAAATAATCAAAGTAAGGTAAATACAGTGTTGTAATAAAGGACTTAATAATGCATCGTGGAACATAGTCCTCAACGAATGCAGTCCTGTAAATAAACAAATAAAGAAAAACAAATAAAGAAATTGTGTAATAAAATGCCTCTGGCGGGACTCGAACCTGCGACCTCTCGCTGTCAAGGCGAGTGATATGTGTGTGTGTGTGTGTGTGTATGTGTGTCATATTCTGAGAAATGTTGACTTAATCTAATTTTCTTTTTAAAATGTTAGAAAATGGTGTTTAATGATCTCGGTCAAGGTGTGCTAGACAACGCATGGAAAGGTTACAACTGCTGCTTATTTGCATATGGCCAGACAGGCAGTGGAAAGTCGTACTCTATAGTTGGTTATGGAGCAAATAAAGGTACATATTATTATAATTAATCTACCATTAACAAAATCATAAAACTTTTGTTACACCATGGTGTACCGAAAGTTTTATGATTTTGTTATTGATACTCTCAATGCAAACTTTCAAGATACATCTTTTAATCTACCATTAGTTATATATCTGTTTAGATAACCATTTATACCACTCTATTTCCAAACAAACTGAATCCATTGTGTCACAGAAGCAGTGTTTCATTAAGAAAACAAATGAAAAAAAAAGTTATTATAATTCTAATTAATTAATTATTAATTGTATAGGATTACTAACTAATGACCTACTCCATAAACTAAACATGACTGTCGGTTGACTCCGAGGTGCTCATCTTCCAGTTTTTTTCAGCCTGTGTGTTTCATTTTGGTGCTTGGTGATCATAACACCTCAGTAGCAACTAATAAGACTTATATCACAATAAGTCTTAATTTTCATATGATATCCTAATAAGTGAATAATACACTGTGATGCAATGGGGTAGTAAATACCATAAATATATTATTAATAACATCAGTGTTTTCATAAATAAGGGATTGTACCGATTGTGTGTGAGGAGCTATTCAAAGGTATTGAAACCAAGAAAGAAAAAGCTGACAAATCTAAAGAAGAGGAGTTCCAGGTAACTAAATGCCTGAACTAAATTTACATTCATTTATTTATATTAATTTATTAATATTATTTATCAATTAAGAATGAGAATACTGTAATAAGAACAATAATGATAGTTACTAATAATAATAAAATAATGAAAAGATAATATGATAACCATAAGAATAATTATGACGACGATGATAAATAAAAAATAAGAATTATATTAATACTGTAATAACAATAACAGCAACAATTTTTACGAAACTAAGTATAGTTTAGTAATTATCTGTTACACGATATTTATATAATATACAAATTACATTATATTTTTTTCAGGTATCTATTAGTATGATGGAGATTTATAATGAGCAAGTTAGAGATCTGCTGAATGCCAAGGGTTTTAAAGTCAAAGGGGGATTAAAAATTCGGGAACATCCAGACAAAGGATTTTATGGTAAATACACATCTGTTTATCTGTTTCAGTGATGATAAGTAACAAAGCATTCTGTATGTTTTATCTCATATTTTGATATGATGTGGCAGTCTCACACTGTTTTTAAATTGTTTTTTATATGTCCTCCAGCTCAGTCACTGATTAAAGTTCCAGTGAAAAGTTACGAAGATATTAATGGAAGAATTAATGAAGGAACTAGAAATAGAACTATAGCATCAACAAAGATGAATGCTACCAGCAGGTATTTTTTTGGAAAATTGCGATGATGATGAGACAATGGGGATAATGGCGTATGTGATGGTGATGATGACGGCTGTGATGATGATAGTAATAGTTGTGGTAATAATTGTGAGTAATAATGTTGGTAAAAATATTGATGTGATTTATGTTATACTGGGCGGATGCAGAGGGGGTGCAGACGGTGTGATCACCATCACCTATGCCATCACCTAAATTGTATTAAGAAAAATAATTGTAATATATTGTTGATGTGAATTGCCAGTAAGATGTTTAAGGTATGAGAGTGCAATTTCCGGGGCACCTGAGGTCCATATTCTTAAAATGTTGCACCTCAGCCCCATGGGTGCGGCTGAGGTGGTGTGAACTCTCACACACCCCAAACCACCAAATCCTGCATCTACCCCAGCTGATGATTATGGTTATACTGATGATTTTGAATACTGATGATTTTGATTTTACTGAAGATTTGGTTATACTGATGATGTTGTTGATACTGATTATTTGCTTTTACTGATGATTTTGGTTATACTGATGATGATGGTGAAGACAGTGGGAATGTAGGTGATGACGATGGTGGTGTTGTAATATTGATGATGATGATAATAGTGATGACCCCTGCATTACACTTTGTTCAATCTTCCACATAAGTTTAGTTTAAACAGCACACTACGCTTTTACGCTTTTCTTTTATAGTCGAGCTCACACAATCGTATCCATCACCTTCGCCCAGAAAGGTTTAAACGATGCAGGAAAAAACATGACAAAGACATCCATAATCAATCTAGTTGATCTCGCTGGCAGGTAATGATTATTTAAATTTTGGAGTTTACACTTTTATTTAACAGTAGATGAAACCATGATTATATATTTGTAAGCTAGCTGACACTATTTTTTTCACTATGAGTCAACTAGAGTAGCATAACTCTAGTCTGCTATTAAAACAAGTTGTAGTATCTGTGTGCGCTGAATTATGGAGATGATTGGGACCCTAGTTCAACGGATCTTTTTGGAATGTCAATCAAACTTAACTGACCAATAAGAACAGGTTCAGAAATGTGTGCGTGTCCCACATACAGATGTGCTACCCCTCAAAAGCACATGTCTATGTACTTAAGCTGTCACTTTGTGGGATCGTAGTAACCATATGCAAGTGGAGGGACTTAGCAGAAAATCCATTAATTTCCATGTGTTTAAGTTAGAAGACTAAAATAAAACTTATTATAATTTTTTAAAGACATTTAGTATTAAAAAAAAAAGATGCAATGAGGAGTTTCTTATTTTGTTGCACATAGTTTGGAATCATTAATTTTAGAACAGTAATGATGTATTGAAACCAATTTTAACTGAAACCTCTAGGTTTTTCTTCCCATCTATGCTATTTCCGCCTTCCCATCTATGCCATTTCCCCCTTCCCACTAACTTCACATTATTACATTGGTTTACAGTGAAAGGGTTGACAGCAGTGGTGCAACTGGAGATAGATTAAAAGAAGGAACCATGATCAATCAGTCCCTCTCTTCTCTGGGAAATTGTATAAAGGCTTTAGCAGATTTGAGTGCTCACAAAAAAACCTTAGGTATGTTTTGAAGTAATCCAAACTGTACATTCTATTTTCCACTCACAAGCTGTGTTTACATTGGATAATATTTTCTTAACTGTTTGTGCTCTTGGATTTGCTGAGATTGTGTTTAAATACTATCTGTTGATGTTGAAATTGCTGTTAAAATGCATGAACATAACGTGCATTCAAATGTAGTCCAAATATGAACTTCTGGGCGAATTAGAGCAATAAAAACTTTTTGATTTCGCACAATGCCTCTATTCAGGAAGGTTAACAGAGTTGACACTTTATAACACCCTGGCACATCTTCGGTGATTTGACCAAGAAAAATGTTACTCAGGCTGTTATGATAATGATGGATATAATTAAATTAAACTAAATAATAAAAATTGATAAATAAAACTAAATGCATTAATACTAATAGATTTGTTATTATTCTTTTCCCATTCTAGTTCCCTACAGAAATTCTAAACTTACAATGCTGCTGAAGAATGCTTTAGGAGGAAACAGCAAAACAATTATGGTAAGTTGAGACATACCTATCTTGTATTTAAAAGAGATAAATTAAATAATTGAAACTTGAAAAGTGGCTTTCTTACACATCATACAAGTTTGGTGGTCTCCTTCGAAAAAGGAATTAAAAAAAAAAGAGCGACATTAGATTTCCTATAATGATGCAGCTACTAGTGGAAAGGAATTCAAACCTACCAAATACCTCTACACTCATTCCCTGGAGAAAGAGATGCCTTTCTTACGGAAACCTGTTACCTCCTGTCAGTGCCATCTGCTCTCTGCAGTTCGACAACAATGGATCTCTAACCCTCTCTTCAGCTCTTCTCACACATTTTCTATACTTCATCCTTGTCCACTCTTTGATGTTGCTCAACCAGCTTGTTCTTGGCCTTTCCTCTTCCCCTTTTACCTTCTAATTTTCCTTCCAAGAGCTCTCTCTGTATTAACCCATGAAAACAAGCAGCTTAGCTCAATTCTAAACTTGTGGTAGCCATTGTGTGTGCGCTGAACCGTGGAGATCTCTTGGTCCCCAGTTCAATTCCCCTTGCAACAATACGATACGTTAAGTTACGATAGCGCAACGTCTTTCGGATGAGATGTTTAAGCCGTTGGTCCCGTGTGCATATATGGCCCATATGCACGTTAAAAAATGCAGTACTGTACACTCTTCAGAAAAGAGTATTCGATTGTCTCCTCGTGTACTGCCCAATCACCACCAGAAGGATCCCACTGGAAATAGTCTTCTTTAGACTTTTGTGGGTAATCCTGGGTGTTTAAATCAATCCATCCATCTATCCAAGCAAATGAAAAGTGTGCCATTCAAACCATAAACCCATGTTTGAATGTCTAAACCTCACCTGCTTTGACTGCTTCTTCTCCCGTAGATGAAATAATTAATTTTTTATTTTTTTCTTTTAGATTGCTGCAATTAGTCCAGCTGATATTAACTTTGATGAAACTCTGTCTACTTTACGTTATGGTAAGACAACGTAAAGTAAATTGATCATTTTTAAAAGCGTTGGCCTAGTACTAATTTGTAACTTAAAAAATATAAAATAAATATAAAAACAGAAACCATTTGTTATTGTTGTTTTTAACTTTTTATTACAAATTCATCACAAAATAATAGGATACAGAAATGGGAAGAGGTAAAGGTATGGGCTAAGGCACAACACCTTATACAGGATTAATATTCTTAAATACAAAAATGATCTAATATTTTTATGATAAGGAAAAAATGTTAACTTGTTTTTGATTGTTTTATTATTTTGAAAACCAGCGGACAGAGCAAAGTCTATCAAGACTAAGGCTGTAGTGAATGAAAGTCCTACAGACAAACTTATTAGAGAATTGAAGGAGGAGAATGCACGTTTGATGGAAGAGCTAGAAAAGAGTAAACAGGGCGGAGGGGGTATCACAGAAACTGCAACAATAATGCAAGGCTTTACCGAAGCAGGTAAGAGTCATAGCATGTCATTGGTTTTGAGATCTGACATTAATTTCTCCTTATTTGGCAGTTGAACAGCTCTCTACTGTACATGTGATTAATTTTATTTGCAGTGGCTATCGTTATCTATATAAAGGTATGGAATTTTCACGCATTTGAACAAAATGATCTGATAGGCAATCGATATATCACAGCACACTATGACTGTGTCATCATTCGTGTTATTAATGTCGAAATATTGAATCCCGACACGATGGCGTGCATTTCGATACTTGAAGAATGTATTATACTATCCATCTTATAAATCAAACTATTGATTTAATGGTTGATTTATTCATTGATTCTCACCTTCCCATCCAAATGCTCAGTAGACTATCATTAGTCTCAGCTGAAACCTTCTGACAAACATTCTACAAGCAGCACAGTCTTGGCATAGGTCATCTGTTTTCTTTGTGCCTACTCCTGATCTCGTGACACTCTTTCTAATTTTGTCTTGACATTGATTGGTTGATCTGATTAAGAAAAGCATCCCTCATAAGAGATATTGCCTAGCTTGAAATATTGCCAGCTTGGATTATGCTTATGTCACAGTCCAGCCATTGGTATCACTTGTGTAAAAACCGACATTTTTTTTCTTCTATGCCTGTTGAAAATATAAATATCTTAAGCTCTCTGTATAATGATTGACTGTAGTTATGCCCATAACCATAATTATTATATAAATGCTGTTCGTTATTAAAACTACTGCATTTCTTTGACTAATGCATCACTTTACAAGATAACCTCTTTCTTTGGTTGATAAGTTGATGCATTTCAAATCGTGGTTTCAGCATCATGTGTGCAGGTTAGATTAATCTTTTTAACTTTGATTATTTTCAGAGGTTGAGCAAATGAAACATGACCTAATGATGCAGCTGAAACAGAATGAAGATGAGATGGATGCTGTAAAGAAAACATGGGAACAGAGGCTGTCAGAGGCTAATGCTGCTAATAAGGTAAGCACCGTGGCATCTCTGAGTCTATAATATGGTGGGGTTGGGCAGACTAGGAACCAAGTTTCTATAAACGTATTATTACTTTTGTCTGCCAAAAATTGTAAGTATGCAAAATAGGGGAAGGCGGTTTCGGCGCAGCGATTTCCAGCAGGTTCTGAACCTTGTGGTCAAGAGTTCAAGCCACACGTTGACCATTCTCAGTTACCCCGGCTTCCACAGTTGATGGGCTGTTAACTGGCTAACACTATGTTTCAGCCCTAGGTGCGAGTATTTCATGACTTATTTAAATAACATAGATATTGAGACTGAATCTCAATGGTAATGATGGTAGTCAAGCCTTATAATCATGGTAATCTGCTTTTAGGAAAAACTTGAGCAAGAGAGACAGAAACAGGAGGAGATCAAAGTGACACCGCATTTCTGGAACCTGAATGAGGACCCGGCACTTACTGGTATCGTGGTCCACTTTGCTAAGAAAGGGGTTTCTAGAATTGGTAATGATAAGGCTAAAGTAGTGCCTGAAATTGTATTGTCAGGTCTCAGGTAAGATAGTAATGCATCACTGCTCCTATTCAATTTATGTAATTATTTATATTGTAATGCCAGCTTGGTGTCATTTTACCTTAGTAAATCAGATAAATTTAGATAAATATAGCTGGAACATTCACTGTCAAATGTTTTTCTACCTTGATCTTCCTTGATGTCAAGGGTTCAAGCTAGCTTTAGGCTTGTTTGTCAATCTTCCTAAACATCTTTTTTGTATGGGTTGAACTTCAACTGGTGATTTGTGTGTCACAACCAATATACAATGTTGGTGAGACTTCTGTCTGATTGATAGAGTATGTACAGTAGAAATAGGCTGTATCAGTTGACAGCTGGACAAGCTGCACCTAAATAGTTTGTTCAAACATTTGTTTTTGTGCCTGACAGAATATGCCTGTCATGATTTATTCAAATACAAGTATATAACAAGAAATATTTCCTATAAAAAGAGTTCAAAAACTAGAATGAAAACCACTGAGCCAAACCGCATTTTTACCATTATTAATATTAATAATTATATTATTAATTATTTTAAATATTATTTTACTTATTTGTATTCATCCCCTTTCTTGGCTTGGGTAGACCCTTCTCTACTTACTACTGCTGTCAGTGTGTTCCTATTTTTGACAGGTCGATAGAGCATGGGTACCGTAGTACTGTACAGTATTTCGATAATTACTAATAGTTAACCCTAACCCTCTTCAGTGTACGGCACTGTATCTCTCGACACAATGAATGCAATAGCCTGGCTCTACTACTTGGCTTTCCCTACTTCTTGAGTAGTAGGCCCTAGGCTTCTGATATTGTTTCTCTGGTTATTATTTATCGAATTGTCAATGCATAAGACTACGTACGCAGGTACAACGATAGAGCCAAATAAACTTTTGCTTGTGATAATTTAATTACAATTCTCCCTGATGAACTGTAAAGATAGCCAAAATAGAGGCTTTTCGACCCAAGTTCTTATTATTTTCCATCCATAACCTGATTGCTTTAGCTGAGTTGCACATGCTCAATTGTGGCATTACAGTTCGATTTTTCCCATTTCTGATTCATACCCTCTTCGCAGACGCTATTTGGTTCCTGAGTCGTTTTTGGTAACTGTTACCCTCTTCGCAGATGCTACAGTATTTAGTTCCTGAGGCATCTTTTTGGTAACTACGCATGCTCGACATGGCTCGACAACGTCACTTACTCTTTGCATATGCTCCCTGGCTGTCTAACATTTCCAAGCGCATGCTCACTGCATTTTTATAGATAATTTACGGACATTCTTTGGTAACTGCCGCATGCGCATTGCTTAGTTTGGAATTCCCATTTCTTCGTAGTGAATGCTACCGCTACCTACTGTTTCTTAATGACTGTTTCCTCTTGATCATAGTAGCCTAAATGTACGGCGTAAAAAAAACAATTTCAAAACATGGATTGTATTTAATTTCAAGATTTCACACATTCTGAATTTTGTTAATAATGATAACAATGAATTTAACACATTCAAAATACAAATTTTTAATTTTTATTATTTATGTGTTTTAATTTTTATTATTTTTATTATTTATGTGTAATAAATTTTTGTTTTTTTATTTTTTATGTGTAATAATTGAACTTTGTGTAGTATCCAGGCAGAACATGCTGTTGTGAGTAATGATAGGAACTGTGTAAAGCTTACCGTCCAGCCTGGTGCTAAAACTCTAGTTAATGGAAAAGAAACTGTAGGAGAAGTTGAGCTTCACCATAATGACCGGTAAATATAAAATTTATATTTATTGTGCAGTACACAAGACTTTGAAAAACAATTTTAAACTATGTTTAAATAATGTTAAACCTTGTATTAAGTCCTGTGTATATCATGTTTAAACCATATTAAACCATATTTCTATCATGCTTTATTTTCAGTATCATGTTTGGTTCCAAACATCTATTTGTTTTCCATCACCCACAAGATTTAGCAAAACATAAACAGAAACCAGAAATTGTAACGCCAGTCACCTACGACCAGGCACAAAAGGAAATTGCTGCAAATTCTGGGTTCGATATGCAACATGGTCCAGGAAAATCCAAAGGTATAGGGAAACATTTTGAATATTTTATTAATTTCCAGTGGTGTATTGTTTGCTATCTGCCAAACAAGCTTATTGTTATTACTAAAGCCTTGTTAACTGATTATCAAATTTTATTTGACAAAAAAACTGTTGTATGCCCATATATGGTCATGATATGATGATGGCCAGATATAGGCATGTCCCATGATTTTGTCAAATAAGATTTAATACAGGGGAGGGCATAAAAATCGGTTGGAGGGCCAAAGTGAATTTTTGTAATTCAACAACGAGAGCCTCACACAAACTTTGATGTTTACAGTGGGCTTCCAAAAACCTTCATGCACTGCTTTATACCACTCTATTCTCAGTGTTTACATACTTTTTATACATGATCGGTGTCGAGTCGTAAAATACAAGGTGTTTCTAGTAAAACATGTTCGGCGGGCCACACACATAGGGTTTTTAATAAATTTTCGGGGGCTGCAAAAAAAATCACTGTCGGGTCGCATGCGGCCCGTGGGCCGCACTTTGCCCAGCTGTGGCTTAATACATCTGATCATATGCATGAATCAGAACCAATGAATACAATGAATGGACAACTCCTATCTCATTACATCTTCCAATGCATTTTGTATTCCCAGAGGAGCTTTTGTTACAGGAGGACCTAATAGAGATAGTTCCCATGGTTAGTGAAGTGAATGCTATGAGTGAGGAACTGAAGAAGAATGTTCGATTCCAAATTGCACTCATCTCCCCAAAGGCCAGAGGTCTCAAGAATGGCCACACTGAGGTAATTAGTCATTCTTCCTTTTGCCTGATGTTGTGATAGGCCCTATTATTTATGACCTAAAAGTGCCTGGCTACAAGTAGGCCTAGGCCTACACAAAATCCCGACACCACCAAGGTCAAATCATTAACGTTTTGATACCCCAAAATGAGACGCATCCTATCGTAATTTGCTGTCTTCAAATGTCACGAAAATGGCAACTACGTATTAAAAAATACATTTATTTTTTACACTTACGTAAAATGTGAAAAAATAAACAAAGATCCTACTAAAAATCCTAAATTACCCTACGCGTTTTTCACTTACGTGTGGTGAGCGATATATGCATGTCGTCCACACGTTTAGCGGATGATGACGTATCCGTCAAACTAACCGTACGCATTCGCGTGCGAAACTTCCCTAATAATGCCCTTTGTACATCCCTCTATCCTGGAACTGCCACACTGCAATTTGTTGACATTGCTTTGTTTCTTCTCTTTTATCAGGTTATGATCATCATGAAGAACATAGAGAATGAAAATGAATTTTTATGGAACAAGGACAAGTTTCTAAACAGAAGATATCTGATGCAAGAGATGTACCAGGACTTTGTTGAAGGTGACAAAGACTGGGATAGAGAAAAGGTACAAATTACTTATTTCAATCAAACTACTTCAATCAATCCAGGGGCGGATTTAGGGGGGGCCGGCCCGGCCCCGGCCCCCCTTTTGGGAGGTAAAAAAAAGAAGAAAAAAAAGAAAAAAAGAGAGAAAAAGAAAAAAATGATAGCCCAGAATGCCTCAAATGTTATGTTCGGGCGTCTAGAACACAAAAATTTCGCGGGGGCATGCCCCGGACCCCCTACGACAGTGTTGTCTCAATCGGCCCAACTTTCGGCCCTACTTCCGGCCCCCCCTTTTGGATATTTCTGGATCCGCCCCTGCAATCAATGTACTTTGCTTAAGCTACCCCTGTCCAAGATTTAATTTTCTTTGCTTTACATATTGTATTTTATTGTCATTGTAAATGTTGGTTGATTAAATAAATGAAATAAACTTATAATGTCATTATCTGTCATATAGCTTTATTTTTAGCTCCGATGAGGAGCTCTAGGAATATGCAGCTGATTGATTAACAGATCTTTTTTGTGGTGATTGCTTAATAGGTTTTTTTGTATGGGCGGTCATTAGGGCCAATATAATCTACTGCTTCTATTATACTGCCCTCATTGGGACTTCCGAGATTACAATACCTTGTTTCTTTCTGTTATTTACTTTACCATATGTAATTCTAATTTTTGTAAAAACAGAATTTTTGTCTGGTACAGTATGTATGCTTGTAGTGGTTTTTCTGAAAGCACATGTTAGGAAATTTTGTGTTAGTTTGAACAAGGAACATAATACATCATACATTAAACTTAAATAAGTCAAAAATATTGAGTACATCCAAAATTTATAAATAGATCGTCTCCTACAGGAAATGGATCCATTCTGGGAGCCTCCAGATACTGAGATTGTCGTAGGAAATGCCCACATCTACCTCCAGCCTCTTGGATATCAGATTGAGCTAGAAGAAACTGTCTGGATAACAGACTACAGGGGCAATGAGCAGGGTCATTTAAGGGTTGAGATTTATCCATGCCGAAAGGATGGCTCGGAGCTTCCTGATGAAGATTTCGTAGATGATCCAAAAGATTTGGTAACTAAAAGATAGAATGAGTATAAAGTGCAACGATGATGATGATGATGATGAAGAAGAAGAAAACAACCAAGAAAATGATGACATTGATGATACTCATGGTGGTTAAATGGGGATGATGGTAATGATGAAAATGATAACTAAAAGTGATGACAGAACAGATTAAGGTGATGGCTGGGATTGATTGATTTGGTTTTTTATTCTTTTTATTGATGATGATGGTGTGTTACAAAGAATATTAAGAGGATGAGGATTAATCTGCAAGTGGTGATAATATACATTTAATACAAATGATAGTAATAGTCAATACTATTAACTTTATTTAACATGTACCAATTATCTGCATTATCTATATTTTTTTTTTTATCTTCGATTAGATTGGCAAAGAAGCGCATTATAAGTTGAAGATTCCTTATGGCAGAGGATTACCGGTTAGGATTGCTAAGGTGATGATGGAAAATATTTTCAAATCTTGTGAACGCTAGGCCATATGTTACTGCAGCAATTAAAAAAATATCTAACAAATTGCCCATATGCTCTTCATAGACCACAGTGCAACAGAAGTTAAATGGGCATCTTTCTATTTACCAACTTTGTAGTTGGAAGGTTCAAACCCTCACTGTGTATTTTGCTTGTGTTCTTGAACAAGGTACTTTTCCTACGTTTGTCTCTCTCCACCCAGGAGTATAAATGCGTACAGTACCAGTTAGAATGATGTGGCATTGAATGTATTAGTTTGTATCAGCTTTATATTGCAAGCACTCCCCAGGGAGTGGAGGAGGTTTGATTAGAAACGAATGATCAGGGGTGATAAAAACATCACTAGCGTCTTGTTTTCCTTGTCATTAAACAACTACTAAAGAAAAGTAGTAATTTAATTTCCCACCACCTCAGGGTGATTCATGAGTAAAAACTTTTAATTTTGGACCCCCCCCCCCAGTTTTGCCACTTCTGTCTTATTTTGTAACAGAAAAAAATACAAATTGGCTTATATGACCCACCCCTTTGCTTTACTTGTATTTTTTTATATTATGCCAAAATAAAGAAATAATTAAAATTGTGTTTTACTTTTTCTTTAAGAGTTGTTGTAAGTTCCAATTTTATATTGAAAACGCCAAATCGGAAACGAAGGAGATCAGTGGTACACGTAACCCAGAATACTGCTACGAACGCATCATACATTTCAATCCCGTGACACAAAAGGTGAGTATTATTATTATTAATTTTAAGTTGTTTATTTTTTTATTTATCTGTTCATTTGTTTAATCATTCATTTTGTTATTTGTCATAACGAACAGCAAGTAATATTACAAATTACAAATAATTAAAATAGAAAGTTAATATATTTATGAAGGATTTTGTCTGAATTTTTTTTTCTATATTCCCTTGGTAGGCATTATTTTTTAATTGACAAGTGAATTTTTTGTGTCACATAGCTTATAGATTACCTAGCTACAGAAATGTTGGTAATACAAGTTGCTGGGCGACAAAAGGAAGGAGGTACACAGAGAGTTGGCCGTGCTAAACAAAAAACCTCTGCCACGAGCAAATCAAGTAATTCTGAAGAGGTTTGTATAATACATTGTTTTTCTCGATATTTTTCTTCCACACCATTTCCTCCCTCTCGCCTTTCCTTTTGCCTTTCCTCCTCCATTTCTTTCGCTATATCTGTCTTTTAACTATGTTTCCCCCTTTCTCTCACTAAATTGAGCTTTACAAGGGTTAATTGCACACAGTATAATATAATATAACTTCATAACTGAATAGGGATTATTTCACCATCTATGGCTTCACGAGGGAGTCATTATGCCTCAACATCTACAAATATTTTGCTTGTATACATGGTTGTATTTAATTTTGTCTTTTCTCTTTCATTACAGAATGATGAAGATAAGTACAAGTTAATGGTTGATTTAAATACAGAGAGAAAGAAGGTTGAAAAACTACAACAAAGACTTGTAAGAAAACTACAAATTACAAAGCGCTTAAAAAAATTGTGATTTTATATATAAATTTGGCTTTTGTTTAAACTAACCATCTCACCACCTTTGGTATAATCAGTGGTGGCGCCACATTTTCTCCCCTCGGACAGGCATGGATTCTCCAACAAAATGGGGTTGTTTGCCTATCCAAATAACGTTATTTTGATTGCCAATCCCTAATATATCTAAAAGCACAATTCGGGCCATACTACTAAGCCATAAAAACTCTCACCGTGAACGCGACCAGGGATAAAACTCTTTCTGACTACAAAGATACAAAGTTCACTCGCTTTCAATTCTGCGGATCCTAGAATTTTCATACACTTTCTGATCGCATACTAAAGGAACGTAAACAATGTACAAACATAAAACTGGTTATTATATAAATGTCAAAGATCAAATTAGTAAATTTTTGGTATGTTGAATAATGGGTGCTGCGGAATGTGTTTGACCATTAATTTTATAACAATCATTTGATAAATAAATACAGACCTTTGATGAAATTGATCAGATAATGGCCTTTAAACAGTCATAATGTCAGAGCTTCCATGGGAATTTGTCACTTAGACCCTTAACCAGTGGCTCTTAGATACCCTTATTAAACCCCCTAAATTGTGCTACAAATCTTAATTGATGCTACGCATTCCAAAAATGTGTATGTTTGTTTTTTTAATCAGATATTGTATGATGGTCAGTACATGGATTGACATACACATATTTGTTTAGTCAGATATGTTTGATACAGGCACACTATCAAACTATAGTCAAACAGTTTCTGACAGACAAATTTTGATTGTTTTGTCTGCTTAAAGCATTTCCTCAATAACTACACTTTGACTTTGAACGGGTACTTCAGAACTCTTTATTCAAGAAACATGCGAAGGGATGAGGGGTGGTTAGCATTGATATGAATGTGTATCTTGACTTGACTCCCAAGGTAGACCCTGTAATCAAATGCTTCAAGGGTGTTTAACTTTACATTAAACATTTTATATTTTAAAAGTTTTGTAGGAATTTATGAGGCATACATCGATTTCTGTTCTGGTCTTACTATTTAGATTTTTTTTTTTGCAATTTTTTTTTTGTAGCACAAACTTCACGATGTTATCCAAACAGCAAAGGAAGAAAAACGTGAAACTCTATACATTAAAGAAGTGGAAGACATTTTGCACTCTGGCAATAGTCTGGTTAAGTTCCGAGCAGTGGGAAGGATTGTGGGAATGAATGAAGTCGCCAAGAAGAAGGGTGACGGGAGGACTACAAGTGCTGCATGTTCACTACAATAAATGATGATATATTGATTTATAGTTTGTATAAACATCTGTCCACATTGTGAAATTTGATGTGATTTGTCCATATTATGTGATGTGACATCACAAATCCCATATGTGAGCAAACCATACTTATTTGTCACAAACTTCATAGTACAAACAGAGCTCATTCTGGTTAAAAGGTTGGCCTGCTCTATTAGATTCATTTCATAATTTTTCTAATTTAATCTGTCATATAGCAATTTGGAAAATATATATTGAAAGTGTTTGAAACTATTTATATTGTCTTTCGATATAAGCATTAACCAAATCAGTTTTATGTGAATTTTAAAATATTTTGTATATGTGCAAGTAATATAATTACTTAAATTTTTATTGTTTTAGGAGTGTTGTTGTTTTGTGGTTGTGGCTTACCTTTCCATTCCAGGGTCTTGGATTCAATTCCTGTCACTGTAACAGGATAAAAAACATCTTGTGTGTATATTTGTTTTGTGAAGGTATATGCCACTTTGAATAGTGACTAAGTTCACTGCTTGACAGTCCTTGGACTTCAGCCTAAAACCAGTTAATGAAATAATAAACAATATCGGATCTATGTTTTGGAAAACCATCAATCATTTTCGTATAGAAAACGAATACTGTATTTATCTTAAACATATTTTATCAATTTCCCGACCGATAAATCTATGATCATGGTATAACAGTGACGTAATACAACAGGCCGGGTGAAGTAAAATATAGTGCTTTAGAGATCAGTTGAGATATTTATTAACACAAGTGTAGTTCACACCGGAATATTTACACAAAACTGCAGTAATTGAAGTACAATAATATTGGTAATAAATAATCCACCTAGGCGCATGATGAATTAAACTATGATAAAGGCTGAGAATGCTTGACTGATTTTCAAGTGAATGGTAATGGAACTTTTCAGATGATGTGAATATTCGGATAATCTGGTTCTTATCTGTTAATCTTGCATAGAACACGTTTCGTGAAAGGGGGAGTTAAAAACAAGTCTGACTTCTCATTTTGATACATCATAGTGTGTTCATGTTTTGTTTGTTGTGATATATATTAGTGATTTATCTATAAAATATATACATAGTAGTTTAAGAATGCAGTCAGCCCAGTGAAGTTTATTTGTGGGTTAGGATTATTTTGCTTCCGTATAAATCGAGGGTTCGACAGGAATCACGTTGTGTTGTAAAATTGAAATGAATATTCAGCATTACAAATTGTATGTAGTTTCATATGGCCGCGTGTACAGGACAATATATGACTGTGAGCGCGTACAGGATCATGAATGGGGCTATGGTGCATCACATAATAGAAATATTGGAACTTAAAATGTTTACATAGTGTTGTGGGCCCACGTATAATATGTGGTTGTTCTTCATCGTTTGCACTTAGAATGATTTTGGTTCTATAAATCCGATCTTTTGTCAACAACAACAAACGTTTAAAATGAATAGTGATCGACTGAACAGTATTGTATCTGATTGTTCTGGTCTAATGTACGCTATTGGGGTCTGAATATCTTTTGTTACAATAGTAATACAGTATTATGACATACACTTGTACTGTGTATTAGAACGCCTTAATTGTCTCAATCAAGGAGATATGCCTGTAGGCGTTTAAATACAATATCTTGTCATATATACAATTGAACTTCGGTGAAGTCTCACCGTTTCGAGATAGACCTAGATCCTAGATAAGAATATATCGAAATAATATTTCTTTAACGCATGCTGGTTGAATAAATTAAAGGCTTGCCAAGCTGCAATACAAAGTTGAAATTCAGAAACGGTGTTTTGCCTATGATTCTCTCTAGATTAATATCTACATATAAGAGACTTTGATGGGTTGAATCTTGGATTTTCAGTATGGTACAGAAATGCTCTGAAGATTACGATTTCTTCACTAGTATTATACCTCCATGGTATTGTGTTAACATTGATATAAGAAAACCAATGATTATACCACGGAGGAATAATTATACAATATGGGGAGGATTAATTATAGAGCAGAGGATGAATCAGTGGGAACGAATATATATTTGAGCCGCTTACATACGAAGAGGCTATATTGCCCATTGTTCACTTCTAAGCAATGTGTTATTTTAACAATTAAGCTCACTACCACAGGTTCTATATTCCATACATGCACCTTATAATGGACAATGTGTGACCCTTCCCCCACAGAATGTAGAATAGTAACAAATATCTTAAGGGTTAAGCTCTCTCCAATTATTTATTGTTATTAACCGAAGTCACTTTATTCCAACAAACTAGATAGGGCCTGTAGCGTAAATGTGACCCTCTCCCACGAAATGTGTCGTGTGTGCCCGCGGGGTACAAATCGAAAAAAATGTCTTGCTGGTAATAAAATCATTATTGATTACCAATCGATTTAAGATTAATTGATTAAATCTAATAACGTACCAGGGAGTGGGTCCTTTAGCTCAGCGTATGTGATCCTATGTGTGACCCTTCCCCCACAAAATGAGAGAGTCTAATAGTAATAAAATGTCTAACCTTTTACCTTAAGGGTTAAGCTCTCTCCAATAATGCTTCAAAGTCCCTTTATTCCAGCAAAGACTATAGTGTCGTGTGTCATGCCCCAGAGTAGGCCTACAAATCGAAAAAAAAAATGTATTGCTGGTTATAAATCATTGATTATCAGTCGATTTAAGATGAATTGAACAATTTCTCATTCTTAATTGATTAAAACTCGGAATAAAATACCCTGAGAGAGTGTCCTTTAGCTCTCAGCGTATACAGTAGTAGGCGTATCTTAATTTCTGTACATTTGTTCCATAGGTAACAATAAACCATGGAGCAAGAATACTCAGCTTTTTGAAGAAGTTTTTTGTCAAAGCATATACAGTTGGTCTGCATGGACGGTTTCAAGGTTTCTATTAATAGCACAAATCTACATTATACAATGATTATGGTATTCTCTACACACATTCTTGTTGGGTAAAAAAGTGAATAAAAAGTAGAATGAGCAGCTAAAATGTGATCAGATACGGTTATTTACGTGTACAGTTAACTTCCACCCCCCCAACCATTCAATTCAAATCTCTCCAATGGAACATAATAAAATATAGGCCGCCTAGCATGCTCTTCCGATTACCATTCAAGGCCAATAATTAGAGGTCAAGGCACTTACTTTTAATAGTCACATGATAATAAACTTTTATGACGTCATGAATGAAGGTTGATGCAAAACAATAATCAGATCATTTTTTTCGTAACCAGCTACGTTATGTAAAATTCAGAAAATATGAATAAGCCTTTCCTATAAAATATGAAGGTTCCTGATTGTTTATAGGATAATAAAAATGTAAGAATTTTAAGTGAAATATACGAAACATTATTGTGTACTGTAATAACAAAAAACGTGAAAAGAATAATTTTAACAAAATGATTATTTTTTGTAATTGTATACAGTATATTATTCAAAAGTATTGAACAGACTACTAGTGAATGGGCCATTTCATACAAACTGATGATCCGTGAAAAGTGAGTTGTTGATCATTTGAAAACCGTTTAAAATATTTTTAAAAATGGTTCGATGTACGTTTTAGAATCAGGATGTTGTTAAAGATTCGATAAGTTTGAAAGGCTGATTTATGGTTACTGTAAATTTGTTTCAGTACGAAACAACCCCTCTTGGTGCGGTTGCATTCGAGCTTCCGCATATTTCTCAAAATACTTAACCTCACGACCGCTTCGGATCCAAAGAAATTTGCATAAGGATGAACTCAGTCAAGTGAACAATTTCGGTATACGTAACAATACTTCTACAGAAGAGAATACGACTGGAGTTGGTTTTACTTCTAATACTTCAATCTCGTTTCAACTGACATTTTGTTCTTTGTTGCCATGGTATTTTCTAATTTTATGGTGTCATAAAGGCCTGGTAGTGATGGACAAATCGCTTACTTGTTAGGTCTGTTTGAATTTGATTTAATCAGAAAGGAAACAGGATTTACCGTATCCGGAAGTTGTAAAACCGGTTCGAACCATTGTGATTCCGATTGCATGTCCTTACTTTTCCATAGTATATAGTTATCAGTTAAGCTTTCACTTGTTGCAGCCGTACAGTGGGTCCAGGCATGGGAAATTCGTCGTCCACGAATTCAGCAAATTATGAGGTCATCGTGAAAACATCGGACAGGAAAGGAGCGGGAACAGACGGCAATATATTTATAGCGTTTCTAAATAAAGAAAAGAAGCGGTCGAAAGATTATAAACTGGACGTACGGTTCAGAGACGACTTCGAACCGGGTCATAACGATCGGTTTCCAATCAAGAATCTCGTCGACTTCGGCGAAATAGTGAAGATTGAACTTTGGAGGGACCGGTGGTTCTTCTGGGATAATTGGCTGGTCGAGTGGATTATTGTTACGGACAAAGTTAATGGCAAGTTTTACGAATTCCCTATCAACAGGTGGATCAAAGGAGGAGCAAAAACAAGGTGAGTTAATAGAAGTTTGAAGTTCGGAACTTTGAACGTAAATTGGAGGGGAAACTATTTCTACTGGGGTTTGTGTCCCTTCCCATTCAATTTCGATACGCTGATTTTCCTGAAGTGCAAAGTGACACGTTGATGATGCAGATTTTGGGGCGGAATTGTGGAGTTGATTCAACTGGGCACTTTCTACCGTAACAATAAAAAATGGTATGCTTCACTAGACTTTAGTATGGCCAGTTGCGAAGCAAAAATAATGCTAACAAGTCATTTGCTGGTAGTAAATTACTATCTAAATACTGACTTTTGTTGCTGGTTAGAGGTCACTGTCGCCAGTAACCAGGAAGTACAACATGAGAATAATATCCGACCCACTACCCCCAATTTTCAATCATCTGTTGCCCCATCCCTTTAAGTTGTATATAGAAATTTTTGCTTCTTAGCACTGGTAAGACAAATAATGTATAAATCAAATAGATTAATGTTATAAATCCTATAAAACATAGTTCATCAATCTTAACTATCTTCGGTTATCCTGTCTTGTGGTTGAAATGCTTAATGACAAGGCGTCAAGGTACCACAAATTGATCTCTGTTTCCCGTGTTTGTGTCGATCAGAGTCGTATGCACACACATAGGCCTATAAATTGAGTGTGAAGTCAATTGACTCAAATCGAACTTCAACAAAATCCCCAGTGGCTCAGGTGGTCAAGACGTCTGCATCAGCTGCATAGTGTATATAACAGGGGGGTAGTTCAAATCTTGTTTGGGGCAATGATCTCTGGTCTCCGTGTGTGTGTTGAGTTTGAAAACAATTGCCTCCAATCGGGTTCGAATTTCCAATGAAAACCCCATAGTGGCCCAGCTTGTAAAGTCGTATGCATACAGTGAGCAGAATTCTTTAAATCTCGAAGGTTTATCTTCTTTACCGTCTTCAATTTGTATAATAAAGCATTCACGATGGTTTAGAGTTTATCTGTTTACGATATACATTTTTTTTTTCAATTCAACTTTTATTGTCAAACACAGTGAGAACATGGTTTGAAATTCTTCTTGTTTGTTCACAGTTAAAATGTAAGTTAAAACAAGACACAAAAGATAAAATCACAGAAAAAACAGAGGAAACAGCATACATACATACATACATACATACATACATACATACATACATACGCACATACATACATACATACATACATACATACATACATACATAATAGGCTTATATATGTGTTTCTATATACATATATATTGGCCTATATATATATATATATATATATTTGTGTGTATGGTGTGTGTTTATAATAACAATTATTTCCTTATATACCAGCAGTATCATTTCAATATAATGTACCGGTATGTGTGTATTTTATTGGCTACTCTAGAGTCGAATGTTGAGGTTAGGTTAGAGTACGTGAGATTCCCTTTCCAAGTACAGTACCAATAAATTGTGTTAGCAATTTGATGGGGGAACAAGTTCAAATGAACCGTGACGGATTTTTTTTAAATGTTACTTTCCAACAAATAAAAACCAAAAGAAAGGAAAGGAGCAAGGGCCGATACTGTTCAACAGTGTGTATACTTCTCTGAAATTAGTTTTCATTATTTATTTTAGCTTGACCAATATTGTCCAATGTGTTATTCTCCCATCTATATTTTCTCTAAAGTGTTATCTTTAAATTGCCTCTTTTACGATGGGAATTTGATGTATCTACATGGTTCACTCGCCAAGTCGTTCATATAATTATCGTCATCATGATCATATACACAATCATCAATGTCAGTGACGGATACAGGAATTCGAAATATAATAGAGGGGGCTCAGGGAGGGACTAGACCCATAGTCATAAATTTTCATATAATTCGAATAACATTTTATTTTGACAGGCAGCCTGCACCCCTCCCCACCCCCGCCAACGAACGTTTAGTGTTGATTATTGTTATTGTTTTTGTCATTGCCATTTTCGCCGTTGCTTTGTTGTTGTTTTAATGATACTTTATTGTTGTTCATAATTATTTATAGATGGAGTAGGTATGACTGTGAGCTCCCACAAAACGATTCTGAGCATAAACAACGTAAAGATGAGCTCATACAAAAGAGGTTTGTTTACCGATATTGGCAGAAGATACCTGGTCTACCTGTACAGGTACGAATTGAATGTCGCATTTATTTTCTGTACTTTCCATAGCCCACTTGCCAATTAAGTTTTGTGGTGTAAAGATTTTTGGTGTTTTCCGGGACTTTTTGATTTAAAGCGACCATTTACAGTAGCTACATGCAGCTGTAAATTCTTTAGTTGCAACATAACCGGTAAGCCCCCCCCCCCCTTGGATTGTCGCTAAAGCCCCACAAAACGGCCGATGGCCGTTAAACGATGTAGGCCTAAACAAGTTCGATTGTGGGACAAGCGTTTATTCCAGGGCCTGTTATGATTAGTCAGTGTATTAAATTTGATTGACGTTCCAGCAAGTTTCATTTTGAGAGGTCGAAAGTAGGTGTCATGAGACCATGCCTGTTCCTCAAAGGCATATTATTACGATTGCTCCGCTAACCAAGAAGGTAAATCGGTACCTCCAGGATATTATTAAAACTCTCCAAAGAGTACATTTTTGCTAGACTGCTTACGAATCGTACGACTGAGAATTTTGTGAGCGTCTTGTAAAGGTCTACTTTAGCAAAAAGAGCTATATAGTTTATCTATATTCATATTTTTAAAAATTATATTTCTCTAACATAATTTGTAATCACCTACTATCACTTAAAATATCACAGGAACAATGAAAATGTTGAAGTTCTTTTGAAAGAATCATTAAGATAATTATCATTAATGATGTATTTTGTATTAAATTGTGTTGACAGGCGCGAACTCTGCCAAGTGATGAAAAATACCGCCCAGATAAACTGGTAACTATTTAAAAATAATTTTATGTGTTGTAAAATTGAGGTTGATACTGCATTATTAAATGGTAATATTTTATTTTCACAATACCAAAAACAACAATTACTTCCGTTGTTGTTTTTTATCTCTGTTTTTAATTACAGAACGATTTATTTGCGTTTGGGTATAATGCAGTAGCATACAGTAAATTAATTTTACATCGAAACGAATGAAATTAACTAGTTAGCAAGATGGACAAAAGCAGTTCTTTAGAATTGAATATAATAATGAATCAGCACTTTTTTAGACCTATAAGTTCCTTACTACCTTTCGACAGCAGTAAGACTGTTATTTTATGAAGCACATGTCGACATAATTTCACATATGGCACATATTAATGAACAACATCTATAATCCAAACTAAAGGACACGTAAGATACACGTATTCTTTTGCCGTTTTTTAGAAAGCATTTACGACAACTGCCCGGAAACTCCGACTTAACTCTGAATTAATATCGCTCACTGCCAAGAAATTCAAAACACTGGAAGACATAGAAGCGATCTACAAGTACACATTCTATCGACCGACGGTAAGGCAAACCATATTCAGATAATAACAAACTGTGTTTATTTGTGTGGACACACTCGTTCGCAGAGATGCAAAAACACACTTCGCATGAGAATGGTGCAACCCATCAATGTTTGAACAACTCGAAAGCTTGTGTCTCTGGGACTGGGACTCGAACTTGCAACCTGCCAGCTGTATCAAGGCGGCATGATACTCGTCTTGATATCAGGTTTCAGGCTCGAGTTTCATTAATTTCTTACAATTGAAAACGTAGTACTGTGCTTATGTATCATCATTATGTATGCAATTATAATTAATGAACGTTATTGATTATTGTTGTAAACAGGAAGAAATCGAAACGTGGGACAGTGATGAAGTGTTTGGCAACCGCGCCCTTAATGGCTGCAACCCATCTCAAATCAAACTTTGCGAACAACTCCCAGAAGGGTAATACGATTAATTTTTTGTATATATAATTATTTACTAGGTTAACTGCCAAATTGAAATAATAACGATAATGTATAGTTGTATCCTAAGCTAATAAATATGAACCAAAAATATTGGAATTAAATTAATATAATAATAATAATAATAATAATTGTCAACTTATATAACGCATAATGTAAAATACCTCTATGCGCTTTACAGCAGGGAGTGGGATAAATCATTAAAAGTTTCACCTCATAAATAAATAAATGAATATCAACAGTAAAAATAAATATACTATTACAATAAGTTAAGAATAATTTTAAATACAGTAATTTTATTTATTTTTTATTTACCAAATTGTTAAATAATTATTTTCTTGTCCTTATTATATTACCTTACTTTTTTTTTCTTATTTTTTCATGTCTTTTCTTCCATGTTTCTTTCTCACCACCTGTCTCTCTGTTCATTTACTTCCCTGTAATTTCTTTCTTTACTTCCCCCCCCCCCACAACTTTCCTTCTTTTATTTTCCTACTTTCTTTCATTTTTCCCTTTCTTTTCTTTTCTTTTCCAATAGATTTTCCCTTTCTTACCTTATATTTTTCATTTTCTTTCCTTTTATTTTCATTTCTTTCCTTTGCACATTTCTTATTCTCTCTTTCTCTTTCTTTACCACTTCCATTTTTCCCCTTTTATCTTTTCCTTCTATGTCTTTCGATATTTTGCCTTTCTTTTCGTTTCTTTTTCTTAAAATATTCCTTTCATCTTTCTTTAGCTTCCTTTCTTTTCATTTCCTTTTCTTCTTTTCCTTTTTACATTAATTTTCTTTTCTTTCAAATTTCTTTTTCATTCCTTTTCCTTCTTTATCTTTTCTATTCATTTCCTTTCCGTTTTTCCTTTCCTTTTTTTTTTCATTCCTTCTAGTTCATTATAACTTTCATTACCTTTCCTTTCCTTTTCGTTTTCTTTCTTTTTCTTTTCCTTTCTTTACCTTTTCGTTTTCTTTCTTTTTATATTGCTGGCTTTGTATTTTATTGAAGTTATTAGCTTTCAATTGAACATTATAACAAGAAAATGATTCTTTTTTTCTTCTCCGTCACCTCTGTTTTATTTCATTTCTCCTTTTTTTAAAATATTTCTTTGCAAATTAATAGATGTAGCCTATTAAATGCAGTCGACTTAAAACCCCTTAAATTGGCTGGCAATGAAAATTTATATTTTTCGTAGTAAAAAAGCTGTAAACCAGCAAAATTAAAATGTTAAAATAATGTTTGAAGTGTTTTCTGCTTCTTATATCACAGAGAGTGTACCTTGAATAGGTTAGTGCGTTTCTTTTCTTTGACAGGTTTTATGTGACAGCTGATATGGTGGAGCCCTTCCTCGAAGGGTTGACATTGGACGATGCTTTGGTGAACAAACGAATTTTCATCATAGATTATCATGTGATGGAAGGAATCGATTGTGTAAGTTTTATATTTCCACTCGTCTTTTAATCAACTAATCAAATGACACGTGTATGTGTATAAAAAAGTATCTGTACATACACTTAATACGTTTCTGAAAGCCTTCATGGCACAAGGAAATAGGCGATTGGCCTACTAATAAAAAATGTGTGTCATTGTGATAAATGTCGAGGAGAGAAGGTTGTAAAGTAGTTATTTAGGTAATACAATGACAGTAGATATATTCTATTTCAGATGCCATGTCCGTTTGCATTGTATTTTGTCGGCAACGATAAAAAGTTGAGACCTATTGCAATCCAACTGCAGAGGGCGTCTGAAGATGCGACAGACAAACCACCTGTAAGATCATTTCGTTCATTCTGTTCAAGCTTAATATCATTATTATTATTATTATTACTATTATTATTATTAATTATTATTATTAATTATTATTATTATTATTTTTATTATTGTTATTTGTATTATTTTTATTGTTATTGTTATTATTGTTCTTATTATTGTTCTTACTATTGTTGTTATTGTTATTGTTAATGTTATTATTGTTAATATTATTATTGTTTTATATTTGTTAATCTCATTGTTTAGATGACAATTTATTTTTAATGAAAGTTATAAGAAACGAAGTGCTACTCACAACGTTTTGATCTCTTTCATTATCAAAGACTGCATGGTGTAATTGCAGCTTGGTCATGACCTGTTGGTCGTGACGTAGTACGTTCTGAGTAAGTATAGTATCTTATAATGCTCTTAAACTGTCATCTATACAATCGAAGCTAAATGAAATTCTTTGAAGATTGTTATTGTTATTGCAATTGTTGTTGGTGTTATTACTATTGTTGTTGCTGTTGCGGTTATTGTTATTTTTAATATTGAAATTATTATTTATCGTTATTTGTTATAATATTAATAATTATTATGATAATAGTATTAAGATTATTTTAAATATTATTTTAACGTTGTCAACAGGTATTCTTACCGAACGACCCTGATTACACCTGGAAATTAGCCAAAATGTGGTTCAGCTTAGCAGATGCGTCATATCACCAGACGGCAACGTTCTGCTTCACCTACAACATTTTAGAATCTGTAACCGTAACGATGCACCGCCATCTCTCTCTTTCTCATCCTCTCCATAGGCTGATCGCTCCACATTTACAGCACGTCATAGCCACAAACAGGTTAATACATTTTGACCTTTCTCCTAGCATATATATCAAACCTAACATAAATTGCAGCAGAACTCAAGTTATGTTATGACTATTGAAATGAAATTATACGTAACAAGAGCTAGCTGTATAATATATGTATATATATATATATTTATATATATATACTATACTTACTATATATATACTATACTTACT